ATTTTTTATTATTTTTAGAAATAGGTACTGTACTTAAGGATATTACCATGTTTTAAAACTAGAATTTCCTGACCTAGACACAAACAGTAAGAATTCAGGGCATTGCAAAAAACACCAGTTCAAAGTAGTGCTTCAGGAATAAAAACTGATTACATAAAAGCTTCAATTACAGTAGGATGATCAGTTTCTTCATTTTAAATTGAAAAACCCCATTAAATTAATAAAATGACAATAGAGATGTTATTGGTGAATTTACAGAATTTACAGATGCTAAATCATTGCAGATTAATACACAGTGGGTATAGAAAGTCACCACCCCCTTTCAAGATGTTCACCTTTTGTTGCCCTAAAGCCCAAAAAGAAGACAATTAAAATCAGACTTTTTCCAGTTTTATTTACAAATTGTACCTTGCAACATCCAAGTGAAAAAAAAGAAAGCAGAAATTCTAAAAAAAATTATAAAAAAGTAGAATAACTGGGTTTGATGAGAGAACACCCTGAGTTAATACTTGGTGGAAGTGCCTTTTGCTTGAATTACAGCCTCTACCAAGAGGGAGGAATATTTGCCTATTCCTCCTTACAGAATTGTTCAAGCTCAGTCAAACTGCGCATTGACCGTTGTGTGCGTCATTCCAAAGATTTCCGATGGTATTTAGGTCGGGGCTCTGACTAGGCCACTCAGGGACATTCAGCTTCCTGTTCTTCAGCCACTGTAAGGTTGCTTTGGTGGTGTGCTTTGAGTCATTGTCATGTTGAAAGGTGAGCCACCTTCCCATTTTCAACATCCTGGCTGAGGACTGCAGGTTTTCTGCAAGAATTTGCCTGTATTTTGCACCATCCATCTTCCCTTATATCTTGACAAGTGCCCTAGTCCCAGCTGAAGAGAAACACCCCCACAACAGGATGCTGCCACCACCATGCTTTAATGTAGGAGTGGTGTTCTTTGGATGGTAAGATGTATTGGGTTTTCTCCAGATGTACCATTTTGCATTCCGGACAAAAAGTTTGATTTTGGTCTCATCTGCCACAGCACCTTTTGCCACAGAAATTTAAGATGCTTTTTAGCAAAATATAAACTAGACATGATATGGCTTTTTTTAAGGAGTGGCTTTTGTCTTGCCACCCTCCCATACAGGCCAGATTTGTGGAGCACTTGTGATATTATTGTCACATAAACAATGACCAGTCTGTGCCATTGATGCATGTAGCTCCTTCAAAGTTGCCATCGGCCTCTTGTTAACCTCTCTGATCAGTCTCCTTCTTACTCAGTCATCAAGTTTGGAGGGACGGCCTGATCTAGGCAAGGTCTGGGTGGTCCTATATTTCATTCACTTCTTAAAGATGGTCTTATTGTGCCCCATGGGGGCCTTTGAAATCTTTTTATATCCATCTCCTGACTGCCTTTCTACAGCTTTATCTCAAAGTTTTTTTGAAAGCACCTTCCCATAGTGAATTCTTTGCTTTGAAATGCACTTCCAAGCAGTGGAATCCCCTAGAAACAGCTGCTTTTATTCTGAACTAATCAAAGTCACCACAGTCGATCACAGGTGGGAGCCAATTAGTTTGTTGTGTGATCTATAAGGTGATTGGTAATACCTGAGCAAGTTTACAGATGCAATGTAAGAGGGGTGTTCACTTATCCAAATAAGGTGTTTTCCTGTTGTAATATTAATTAATTTTCAGAATGTTTTGGAATTGTATTTTCACTTGGCTAATGTGGGATACTGTGGGTAAATAAAAATGAAACAAGCCTAATTTAATTTGTTTTTATATTCACAGTGTCATACAACCAAATGTACAAATTTTGAAATGGGGTTGGTGACTTTCTATATCCACTGTATATGTGAGGCTCCCCCCACTAAGTCACAGAAAGCCAGATAAAAATGTATTTTGTGTAATCAATGTTCATTTTTTAGGTTACAATTTTGTTTTTTAACTTTACATTGTGCTGTGAATTGATTTTCTATTAAAAATAGCATCATTTGGTCCTGTGGTATATTTAATGAGGATAGCACCAGTTCGGAAATGCTGCAAGAAATGTTCAAACCATGGTGCATAGCTACAGTGAACCGCAGCTACACTTACAGTCTATAGAATTATATATGAGAATATTACCAGGTACAGTATTTCAGTATTTACAGTATGAAACCAGTGTTTGATGGTATTTACAAACATATGACTGGTTATGAATGCAGGCAAAAACTGTTTTAGTGCAAGCAACACTTCCTTGTTGCACAACACCGAATCACAACCACAGTAAAAAAATTGCATCATTCACAAGGAATCTTAGCCTTATGCATAGAGTTTGAGTTTCTTTTAATGCTGAGCTATCACAAGTAGTATTAACAATGTATGAGTTTAAGTGATCATGAATTTAAAGTATAAACTGTCCACTTAAAGGGTATCTTTCAAATAAAAAATATAAAGTAAACTGTAAAGGGTGATCTCTAAACTTTCATTCTCCCTGCAAAGCTCTAATTTCAATTGGATCCCTGCTGAAAAGAAAACACAATTTTTTACAGGGGATTGACCTGTGAGTTGACCTCAAAGTCAGGTTACATTTGACTTTGTCTGAGCAGGGAGGTATGGTCAAGGCTGGTCTAAATATCCTGCTGGAACAAGGTAAGTGATAAATTCATTATGCACAGGTGAGATCTGTCAACCTGATCATGTCATCGTGGCAACAGGCTGATTAGCAGGTGGATTAGAATCTCAATCAATTGTCATGGTGTTTTGCATGCCTAGGGCCCTGAGGTCACCATGGGGCCCCTTCAATGTGCAACACAGCATATTTTCAGTTCAGTTAATTTTATTTGTCATATGCATAAGTGCAATGAAATGCTTATTTGTACTGTATGCTTTCAAAGACATTAAAGAAATCACCAAAAACATAAACACCAGCAGCAGCAACAACACGTTAAATAACATACAAGTCAGACAAGTAGTTTGAGAAACAAAAACACCAGTATGAACCAGTGATAAGGGTAGAGCTCAATAATCTGACACCTTGTGGGAAGAAGTAGTCTCTGAATCTTGAAGTCCGTGCCTTTATGCTCCTATAACACTTACCAGAGGGATGGAAGGAGAAAAGTGAGAAACCAGGATGACAGTTGTCCTCAGCGATACTTCCTGCCTTCCTGAGACAGCAAGTTGTAAAAATGTCCACAAGAGAGGGGAGCTGTACTCCAGTGATGGACTGGGCTGACCTGATCAGCCCTTGTAACACCATCCACTCAGACAACGAGCTGCTGCCAAATCACACTGTAATACCATATGTAAGCACATTTTTTCAACTGTCTGAGAATGTAAAGGTGCTGTTGTGTAGCTCCAGTTACATGCTGGGACCACATTAAATCATTAGTAATGAAGGTACTCAGGACCTTGAAGCTGCTAACTGTCTGGAAGTGGGACATGTATACAGTATATCTCACTTATCTAGCATAACAATATCACCACTTAAGTACATTGTGAGAGGTGTTGCTGGGGTCTGTTCATTTAGCCTTCAACAAAAGTGATGCTAAAATGCCATAAAGCTGACTTGCTTTAGCAGCCCCAGTGACTTAATGCTATAATAAAAGACAGGAACAACACCCACAAACAGGATAAAGCAGAGCAATGTCTGCTGCATATCAAAGGACAGAACCTAGAGCAACACAGAGCAGGACAAGAAGTAATTACATATCAAAGAACAGGACAAGAAATCAGATTATGAAACAAACTTCTTTCTGACTGTATATAAGGGTTGGGAAACCCTTGCATTTGATCTATTCTGCGGGGCAGACCCAGCGCATGCATTACTGTCGTTATTGAGACTCAATAAAACTGAATCTGCACAAGACTGTGTCCTGCTCCGGTGATGAAGAATTTCCCACAACAGTCTCTACAGCCACCTCATTGATGTGAACAGGGGTGTGGTTCCACCCTAATTTCTAAAATTGATGACCAGCTCTGTGGTTTTGCTGACGTTGAGGGAGAGATTATTGTCAATCTCTCAATCACTCAACCAGGTTCCTGACCTCATCCCTGTAGGCTGTCTCATCATCACTGGTGATTCAGCTGCTCGATTTTTATTGGTACATTATTCCCTATAGCTGCTCTACTGTATCTGTTGCTGCTGTGGACTATCCTAATTATATTGTAATCTGGAGGGTCCCCCAAAAAACTAGGACTGGCCCTGTTGTTTTTAGTGTGTAATTCAGCACCCCTCTGAGAGCTCTGTTAGAGGTCAGTAACACATTGAGATATCATTGTCTGTTTACAAAATAAAGCCTTTGTGAAGGGGACAGTTTCAGTTCTTCTGAATGTACAGTACCAGTCAAAAGTTTGAGTACACCTGCTGGATATAAACTTGTCTATAAACACTTAATATTTAATTACATGATACTGTACAATATGTGTACTTACAGTATAATCTTAAGTAAACTGCAGAGGAGGTTGCGTGAAGCTTTTTTCCTTGCTTGACTGAGCAAATTTTGCCATGTTCATTGAGGAATTACAAACACTAGTTACAGTACCTGTGAGAACATCTAATAAAGACAATCTTAAACTTCTTTTAGTGTTCTAACACCATGTTATACATATTTCTGACTTTTAACTAACCTGGGCTTCAGACTGAAATCCGTTTGCTTTGGATGTTCATTTTATTGAAAATGAAAAATTTACATTTTCAATGCAGTTCACTTCAGATTATAAGTACACATACTGTACAGTATTGTGTAATTAAATATTAAGTGTTTATAGACAAGTTCATACAGTTTAAAGCACAGATAATCATGAAAAACCTGTTTTCCAGCAGGTGTACTCAAACTTTTGACTGGTACTGTATGTAAATGTGTTTTGTTTTTATAATTCTGATCTTTTAACTCTTAAAGCTATAACTGAGGTTGCATAATCTTTTCTTGACCTTCTTCACAGTACATGTCCAGCCACCCTTTTGATTTTTTGCTCATAGAGGGATAAGATTTTTCAGGTCAAGAAACAAACAAATCACAAACATCTTGTAGTTCCTAAAATTGTAGTTTAATTTTAAAGCCAGAGTTTTACTTAAAACACATTTTTAAAAATAAATTCTGATAACACAGTGCTTGGAATAGGAAAAAAAGACTGTCAATCCCCTTGTTGGCATACCTATGAAAATAAGGTATCCTGGTCAAAAAGCAAAAAGACAAGGTAACAAATAATTAACTTACATCACTTATAGTACACTACAATTTCAGCAGACATATTGGTAGTACATTCAATGCCATTTTTAAGAGTATTCTCCCAAGGTTAAGAATGTTTGTTAATCATTAAATATTAATATTTAATCTTCTTCAGATCCAGACAAGACATGTTTAAAATCAAAAGGTGAAAAGTTGTAACCAGTCCCGGTGTAGAACTTGTTCTGAAACTCCACCCTGGACAGGAATGAGAAGTTAAATATTAATTTTCAATAAAATATATAACTACATATACCGTACGTATAACAGGAACAATTAAAAATGTCACCATAAAGGATTATTTCAAGTGTTACACACAAGAATCTTCCTAAAATGACTTTAGCCAGAACACAATTACAAAATTTCAGAGATCTGCATTTTAATTTTTGACCCAGATTGAAATATGCATGAGCTACCAATACACCAAATGAGTCAGAACACTTGATGCCAGTGTAGGTAGTTTTCTAAAGCTACAGTATATTAACTATTCTGTCTCAATAATGCAATCAAGGCTGACCTGGTACTGCTGATATTAAGCAAGACATGCCTTCTTCAATACCAGTTAGGCTTTCTACTGTATATGCAGTTAAAAGAGTTGTTAGGGAGGGGGTTTCAGGAACTATTAGTAATGATGATTCTGGGTTCAACCCCTGACTATTTCAACTGCAGCTGCAGAACCTCAAATGTAGGATATACTGTACTGTAGTCATGTGTCAACCTACTATACTGACAAGGCCCAATTGTTTGGTAAGAATTTAGTTGCATACTTTAACGTGAAACTATTTCATTCCTGCACTCTAATTCAGTTTTAAGTGTACTGCTTTTTGTTATCCTTTTTATTCATACCAATCCATATGGGAAAACCTTTGAACAATTCTATCCTTACAATTATTTTTCTGTATGTTCCAGAAGAGCAGCCAATAAAACTACCTTCTACTATAGACTTTCCACACCTATAATGCTTAACTCATTCTTTATTTAGACTGAGCATCATACGTACCAGTGTAGACGCAGAGCATGAAGGAAAGCAGAGAGTCCTTCCATTACAAGTAAAATGGCCACAGTTAAGACAGCAAATGCAGAAAAGATGACAAACACTCCAATAACTCCTCCCCAGCTTCGATTGGCAAGGCCAATATGGATCACCATATGCCACAGAACTTCAGATAATTCTTAGGAGAGAATTACAGACAACTCATTTAAATTAAACTTCTTAAATTTCTAAATTTCTGAATTCCAGTGGATAGTCTCACCCATCTAAACTCCGTAGTACTCCTTACTGGCTCCAAAGTTTGGATGGACACTTTGATCTAGGGAGTGTCTGGATGGGATGGTACTATTTCCACTTCTTAATAACCTCAATAAATTTCTTAAAGTGATATTCAGTGTCTTTAAACTTTTATACCATTCTGTGCTTTTCAACATGTTTACATCTGAGTTATTTTGAACGCGCTTTGGTCTTCATCGTTACGCTTTTACTTAAAATTCACTTCCTGACTGTGCACACAGAGGCAATTTAACTGACAGTGTGACTTTGTTCATCATTGTAGAGAGATGAATATTTTTGCAAGGCAATGTACAGTATGTACAGTATACTGTTTATAATTATGATGTCCTTTATGAAATGAAAATACATTTAACACAACAAAGATAAAATGTTTTCAGATCTCTGGCTACATTACCTATTTGGAAAAACATGGATTTTTTGTGGAAAAATAAATGCCTTCCATTTATATAAAGTAGGTCTAACAATTCTTGTTGCAATTTAAAAAAACACCATTAACTGTTTTGTAGCTTTGAGCTGAACCTACCATATGATGTAGTATTACTGCATCTCGTATGCAATGGCTTAGAATATTACACTGTATAATATAGAGATTGTGTTACATTTGTAGACATCTCACATAGACACTGCTGAAGTGTGTAAACTGTCGTGGTACAGTATGTATTACTTGTGGTTTAGCATGCTGAAAGAGGAATGGATAACTCACGTGCATGTGCAAGACTGAGAGCCCACAGACGAAGATAGGATGCAGTATTGGAGATGCAGCCTAAACAGTATTCAATGGTGTGAATGCTCTGATTCACAAACACATCTCCAAAGTTGAACTGCAGCAAAGAAAAAGACAGAAGACAACTTCAGTAGTAAAGGAACAAGTTAAAGGTTTATTCCATGCTGAAAAAAGTAGAAAGAAAACACAACGTTCACCCGAAGAAGGTTCCACAGCCTAAACTTTGTGTTTTCTTTCTTCTCTTTTCAGCATGGAATAAACCTATTACTTGTTCCTTTGCAGCCTACGCATTCTGATCCATTCTGACCACCTGAACAACTTCAGTAGTAGTTTTGTTAGGGTTTAAAAAAGGTAAACCATATTAATAATACAATTATTACACAATATTATATAATTGCTTATATAGCTCTTTTCAGGATACTCAACTCAAAGTGATTTACTGGAGCATTAGGACCCACACAGACCGGAGAGTGAGCGCCCCCTACTGGCCCCACTAACACCACTTCCAGTAGCAACCTTACATTTTCCAAGGAGTCTCACATCCAGGTACTGACCAGGCTCACACCTGCTTAGCTTCAGTGGGTTGTGATAGAATATATTGTTTAGGTCACCATTAACATAAACAAAAGCTTTTGTTGCTCTGGTATCAGTCCATAGAAGAGATAGTAAGTACAGGAATGAGAGCACCAGCCATATATTGTTAAAAAATGTTAGAGACTCTCACAGCTGCAGACTTCTATAGTCGAAAGAGGCAAACAGACATTTTTCCCTTTAAAACACTAGCTCAGCTGAGTTCAAAAGAAAACAGATAAATATCAATTTATTTTAACAATTCACAGATATAGGGCAGCCAGAGCCTATCTCTGCAAGCAAAAGGCACAAGGCACAATACACCCTGGATGCCAGTCCATCACAAACATGCATGCATGAATATCCACACACTCACACCAGGGCCAGTTTTTCGCAGAAGATAAATTAACATAACAATTTACGTTTTGATTGATATGTTTGTCTTTGGACTGTCAGAGGAGACTAGAGCACCTGCAAAAACCTACATAAACACAGGGGGAACATACAAACAGATAGCATCCCTAATTCAGAGTTGAACCCAGGATCCCAATAATGCAAGGCAGAAATACTAAACAAGTTTTTATTCTGACATAACTTCTCTCTTGGAAACCGTCTTAGATCATAAAAGCATGAGGAAATTTTCATATACTGTACGTTTTCCTTAACACCCGATTATGTGTAAAGTATAGATATGTTTCATCCCTGTCTTTGTACAGCTAGAATGTCTGCAGTTGAGTAATGTCTTTTGAAGAAACAGAGTGTAAATTACACCTTTGTCTGAGAATGGTTCTCCATTGTATTTTCTGATTTTGTGCTACTACAAGATGCTAGGACAGACAGAATTCTCTACAGGCCTAAAAAATAATCTTTAACTTTAATTTTAAAAGGGGTTGGAGGCAATGTTCCCTCTAAGCTCTGCACATGTGTGTGCACACACAGGTTATGAAATTTATAAGAGATCAAGATATGCACATTTCTTGCATTAGGAGTTTGTCTTTCTGTATATCCCAGCTTCCTCTCCATGAGACACACAGGCGCACAGACGGGGAGAAATAAGCTCGGGGTCAGAGTGCAGGGTCAACCATTTATACGGTGCCCCTGGAGCAGCTGGGGTTAAGGGCCTTGCTCAGGGGCCCAACGAAGTAGGATTCCTCTGCTGGCTGCAGGAAATCAGCGCACATAGGAAATTGAACTGTGCACAAAAATTAAATTACCCCCAAAATATGATAATAATAAAACAAACATGGTCGTCAATTGGAAAATGCTAAATTGACAACATGAGACTGGCTGAGAGAGGCCCAACTTGGCTGTGTGCATTATTATTGCTACTCAATAATCGATATCTATGCTTTTGTAGTCTTGTACCTCACTGCTAGTGCTCGCTTGACACTCAGTCTCTATGACTGGGCTCATTGAATCGCTGTCCCTGTCTTTTGGATCTCTATGCTTCTATGAGAATGACTATATTAACAATAATTTCAGGTGATTACAATTTTACATACACTTAGTTTAGTGCGCACAAGTTTTTGTCACTGGGGAAACAATTTGCACAACTTGAAATGTTTGCGCACACCAGCCATTAAAAATTAGAGGGAATATTGGTTGATGGCTCCTACCAGTCAGCTGGCTGAATGATAGCCCAGGCACTGAGAACAAGGCGTACAGCTAAATTCTGCATCATTAATTGAACCCCACAGCAAGTTACATTGCAATCAACTCACTGCTCAGATGAAGCTGCAGATCCTGCCTGTGTACAGAATGTAATAAATTTGAACAGTTAAGGAGCAAAGGCTTACCTCTTTTTGTCCCTCATCATGTATTTCATTATGCCCTCCACTGTTAATGGAGGAGTGTGTCTGAAGTTTATCCATTTCTATCTGCTCTGTGTTTTCAGATACAGACTGCTGCATGAGACAGAAAGAAAGCAGAACAACTCGAGTGCTGAGTACTTGATAAATGGAAATAATAGAAATAGGGCTCCTGGTCTGGTTTCCAGTGTTTATTTTTATAATTTTATTTTAAATTCACTGAAAACTGATTCTGTCTAATTAAAACCAAAAATGCAGTAATTATGAAACAAGGTTCCTTTGACTTAAGTTCACTCCTTGTTTGAACTTCTCTTTTATTTGTAATAAAGGACACATCTGGGAGATGGCACTGATCACAAATTATTATGCCTATGCATTATTTATTTTCTCTACAGTATGTATTTTCTTAATAGTACAACAAACTAGGATATAAAACTCCTGCATGCCAGTTGAAGCCAGGACTCTAGATACTACTCCAAAAATGATTTCTGAATTAAATGACTATGTACTTGTATGAAATCCAAAATTGCAGCATTAAAGATATTAATCTCTGAGATTTATTCAAGTGCAGGTGGCTTTGCATACTTTTATCCTAATTAGAACACAAAGATAGCTTAAAAAGCAGTAATTAGACTTTAAAAGGAGGCATTTGTCTTGACAATAAAATTTAAATTCAGAAGTCCTAAATATAAACCACTAACAAAACCTTTATTTTAAATGCTTGCTATGCAATAGCCTATTTCTGTTCTTTATGATTAATCCATCCATCCATTTTCGAACCACTTCTTAGCCAGAGCCTATTGCAACAAACAATGGGTGAAAGGCTGGGTACAAACTTGATAGGATGCCAGTCCATCACAAGTCAGACTGATGCAAACACAGACACACACACACTCACACATGGGATTTGGACTATGGGAGGAAACCGGAGCAAAGGGAGGATACCAGGCAGATACAAGGTGAACCCCACGCAGATCGAACCCCAGGTCCAAAATTGAACCCAAAGACACATTGCTTTGCATGGCAATGCTTCCAATGTGCCACCATGCCGGCTTTAATGATGAATGTGAAAAGTGATTTATTGGGAACACTGGGAACAGGAGAGTGATTTATTGTAGAACACTGGTTAAACAGAGAAAGGTTGATAATGCTTAATTTTAGCATTAAGATGATATTATACTAAAAACAACCCTAGGATATTTGGAAAGAGAAGTGGTACTGTACATAATTTGGTGGAACACTGGCAATGCAGGGCACCACCTTGGAATTATACAGTAACTATGGGAAGTATATATTTTTTCTTTTTTGTGAGATAGTGGTAAAATATAGAAATTACATTACATTGTTCTATATGTGTATCAAAATGAACCAAAAAATCATTGAAAAAGCATTCTAGTTTTGTAGCCTGGAGAATATATACAAACAAATTAAGGGAATGATTTACTGAAATTATTCAAATGTAAAGGTGAAGAATCTTTAAAGAGGAATCCTAAATAGGCTAAACTGTTTTAGAAATTAATATAATTTGCAAGTCTCATTCTGCATGAAAGACTGACATATAAAACAGAATACAACTAATTCCATGCTGAAAATTAGAAAGAACACATTGTTTTGGCTGTTGAGCCCAGGCCCAAATTTACTGAAGGAAAGAAGCAACGACATTAACACATAGGCGAACAAAGGACAAAGCAGGTGTGAGTGCATACAGAACAGGTGAGAAAGACTATCCAAGAAAAGGGAGATTTAGGGGACAAATGTGGAAAGTTAAATTCTGTGATAAAATTCTTTACTGATACTGTACATGCTTTCTTTTTCTAATTTTCAGTGTGGAATTAACCACTACTCGTTTCTATGCAGCTAACAAATGCATACACAGCTCCCCAGTTGAACCTTTTCTGACAATAAAATAATAAACCACTGTCTAATAATGCAGTTGTTTTTTCAACTGAAAAGAAAACTTCCAACAAGATGTCCTGTTGCTTTAAAAAATGATGCTAAGTCTGACACAAAAGAAAATAACTAAAAAATAATACAAAAAACATATGCAATACAAAACACATAGAACACTATGGTATAAAGATGCACTACAAGTTTCCGAGACAGATCTAACAAAGATCTCAACTGACCTAACAAAGAATCTTTAACTCTAGTCTCAAAAGGTCCTGGGGGCTTTTCTTCATCTGACTAAATGATATTACAGGCACTGAGACCAAGGCATGCAGTCATGTTATCAAATTTAGATTTCCAGCAGGCTACATCTCAACCAAACTGCCTACTCAAAAAATTACTACACAATATCATGTCCAGCCTCAGAGTGAGGGTACAAAACTGAGAAATAAAGGAGGAAAATACTTACATGTACCTCTCTTTCACCTTCTTCACGTCCTTCTGGAGGTGTGTCATTAGAGGAGTGTACGTGAAGTATGTCCACTTCTATCTCCTCTCTGCCTCCCTTAATTAGCTGCTTTGTGGGAGAAAGCAATTAAATAGTATCTGGAGAATTGTAAATTTGATTTATACAAAATGAAATAGTAACTAATACTCCTTTAGTCCATTGTCTGTTTACAATAAATATTTTTATGTAACAGACTGTTTCTGGATTTGGTTTGTTTACTGACTCAAACTGACTGTGTATAGTACAGTATGTTAAATCTTTTGTAGGACTTAAAAAAAGAAAAAAGAGAAGCAAATAAAGATCACATAAAAGTTCTCCATGAAAACGTTTAAGATATTACATCTTTTACCTGTTGCTGGGATTTTAAGTGCTTAGCACGTAGAATCAAAGGCTTAAACAGCAGCATCCAAGGGACAGCAATCACTGCAAGAACTACCAAAAAGCTCTGAACTTCTTGCTGAAAAATAATACATATATACTGTACTGTAAACGATAGTATACAGTACACACATAGAGATACAATAGTTGCACATGTATTCGAGCCCTTGCACAGTTTTCATATTTTTGTGCTTTAAAACTTGTTGTCATGACACTTTAAAGATGCAATTAATATTTCTTATGTACATAACCTAATCCACACATTCAAAGCAAAAAACAAAACTAAATAAAAATAATGAATATTTACTAAAAATGGAAAAGTCAGGATTACATTTGTATTCATACTGTATGTTTTGCTGTGGCAAACCTGTATTATTTAAGTGGCCTCTATTGTAATACTGTAGTAGTAGTTCTCTTAATTCTTAATAATTGGAAAACACTGATAAGGATTAGCATGCAATTACATTCTCTGAATATCCCTGGATAGTCAATTCTGTCATTAATAAGGTACATTGTGCCACCTAGACCATGCCTAGATCAGACTGTCCCTCCAAACCAAGCAGCCAGGCAGGGAGGAAACTGGTGAGGGATGCCAACTGGATGCCAAAGATAACTTTGAAACAGCTACATACTGTAGTTCAATGGTTGAGATGGAAAAAACCTACAGTACATGAGTCAACCCTGTTTTGGACACTTCATAAAGATATTCTGTATGGCAGAGTGGCAAACTCATCTTAAATCCCACATGAAATTATGCATTTAAGCGATCATTCAAAATTGTGTCAAAATGTTTTGAGCTATTTTGGTATCATTGGAAAGCACTGTGTCTCTTAGAGAAACAACACAGTGCATCAACCTGTCAAGACCTTAATAACTTGAACATGCAAGTTATTAAGTAAAAGGTTTAAACTGTTTATACAGCATTTTGTAATTTAACAAAAATGGGACTCCAAAGAAAATGTCAGAATACAGTACATTCACAAGGTACAGTATGTTGGAAATCATGAACTGGGCATCAGAGTGGATAGATCATATTTGCTATAAAAAGTGGACTTAAAACCTTTAGCATAAGAGTGCTGTTGTGAGAAATCAATGTTTTTATTATTGTTGTTGATTTATTATTTTAATTTACCCTAGTTACTGAAAAAGTAAGAATAAGACAACTTAAGTATATCAAAATTTCCCAGATTGTCAAACAATAATCAGATATAATCCCAGTAAAAAATTTTTTCACTAAATAGTTATTAAGTACTGGATGCCTTTTCAAAGTGTGTAGTACTGTTGATTTAATGTTAAGTGACAGAGTTCAAATAGTGATTACTAGGAAATTAGTAGATGTTTCTTGCTTTTGCTATTAATTCAGCAACAAGATTAGTTATTGTTAATTAGTTAGTATTATTTAATTAATAACAAGGTGGTTATTAAATTTAAATGCCTATATGGCTTCTATGTTAAATAAATTAATGTACTTAAATTCTTGTTTCAGCATTTTTGAATGCGGACTAAAATATTTTGTCTGAACGTACAGGTTATTGGGGTAAATAGAACGTATGTACAGTAGTATAATCCAACAGGGTCCAAGATTGGGCCCAGAATTCTAAAGAAGACTGCATTAAGAATGTCATAATTCAAGAAAACCGTTTTGGATAAAAAGATATACTGTACAGTAAATTAAGTGCTTGGCAATCTCTCTAACTTTAAGAAAGTAAATGTAATTATACACAAAACCTAACTTGAATCTGTATTCTCTAGAACTAAGTCAATTTAATTTCTATGTGTGAGTTTAATGTTGTGCTGTTGTTTAATATTTTTTTATTTTTGTGTGCTGAGCAAAATTCCAGCATAAAACTGACGCAATACTAACAGAAACCCTTGGATCTACAGTATAAAATAAGAAATCTTTACTGCTTTTTTGGTCATTCATTCTTTGGATCACTAGCAACACAGGATCATGATCTCAAAATTTTGGGGTTTATATTTATTTTTTTACTTAATTAATATCATGATGAAACTAAACAATGGCTGGAGAATGTCTGTTAAGGTATAGTAGTGATTTGACTGAAATTCTTCTAATTTAAAATAGAAAAGATTCAGCCTAAACAAAGACCTTTTTTACAGCTTAAACAAAGGTCATATTTGGGCAAAAATGTTTTACTGCTAATTATAAATATATGAACAATCATAACTACTGTATAGATTGTAGTAGTTCAGGTGGGTAGCTTCGTTAGCATGCGTAGGCTGCAAAGGAATAAGTAATAGGTTTATTCCATGCTGAAAAAAGAAAGAAAACACAACGTTTCAGCCGTGGAGCCTTGACACCTGAAGAAGGTTCATAATAAACTAATTAACATAATAAACTAATTAACTAGCGAAGGCTAAAATACATACCTGTTACACTTAATCACTAAAACAACAATTACAATAATGATAGTGTTATTATATACAATAAAATTACATTACCTGATATGAATAAAGAGGAGCATTAGAGGAGTCTCCGTAGTTGAAGAGAAACATGTTGATGTAATGAATGAGGATGCTAGGGGCTATCTGGGAGGAGTGAACATCATACTGACACCATTTAAATATGATCATGAAAACCATGTAGCCAAACAAGCAGGTGATAAAAATGATCTCTGGGATGAACTGGAAGACAATGTTGACTGTGTTCTTGAAGTGCCTAAGGGAAAGAAGAAAGAAGAAAAGCATTCCAATCTGATGTAAGATTTTTCAAAGAAATTAATCAAAATTGTAAAATCCCTAGAGTTTGATAATATAATATCTGTTATATTTATTGTACAGAATATATTAAAGTATCACGTATATTTTTTATCATGAATGTGAACAAATGTGCATACTGTTCAATCCAGCGATTTCAAATGAACATAAGTATTGAGATACATTTACATTAAGTGTAAAAGTCAGCATTTAGAATTTCAAAAAAAGTGAGACAGGCTAATTGTGCCTAATCATTCAACAATCAACTCCTGACCAATAAGAGACCTATTCTAGCAGACAACTTGCACAATACTTTTGCTCCTTCAAAATAAAGAGATTTAATACTATTGATTTAACAAATTATTAATTGACACAAGAAGTTAATTTCATAGGCTTTATTAGAAAATAAAATACTTAGGAGATGCACTTCTTACTAATATTGAATTAATTGTGAAAACAATCCCAGATTTCATTGTTCCAATACTGTACATTTAGGGAGGGTACCGTAATTTAACATGAACTTACATGTGATTAAAAAGACTGAGAATCACCCCAAATATCATCTGGATGATTCCAAGCACTACAGACATCTTCATCTTATAGGAGTTCAGGAATGTCAATTTATTTGAAGCAATGTTCCATATCTAAAGTAAAATTTAAAAAATGTAAAACACCAAATAAACACATGCTATGAGCAATATTAGAAACCACCTAAACCTAAATTTGTCGAGATACAGTATACTGTATGTATACAGTATGTATTTCCATTTCAAAGTGGGGTTGTTAAATAATCATACATTTGATGGAAAGATAGTGGAAAATCCATTCAGTAAATTCATGTTTTTACTATTAAATAAAATAAAATTAAAATTTTAATTGAAAAAAATGTTTTTACTGAAGTTAAATGATGTGTAGCATCAACCATCCTATGGTGTTTTGTGATTTGTTCTGTAACTGATGAATCCACTATTTTCTACAGTAATTAAAGTTCATTGTGTTACAAGCTCAGGTAGGTGACAATGGAAGTATCTAAAAATCCTAATAAAGTCTGTATCACCTGGAAATTTAAACATGTCCAGCTTCAAAGCAGAGGGGATGTTTGAGATGTATAGATCCTGTGTTCAAAGCAATTATAAAGTTTACCTTGGCATACAGTACCTTGGTTAATTAGGTTCTGGGTAAATTATTAAGTACAGTATCAATCACCAGTCTAGAAACACACTGTATAAGATCAGATGAGGAGAAGGAAAGAAGAATAAAAAAAAGGTCAGATCACAAGACAGAGCAGTAGGAACTTGAAGCTTGTGCCAGGCGAGAGTCCCTACTTCATGAACCTGTGAAAAAACCTGATTGGAGCTAGTTATGAATCTTTCCAAGACAGCTTGTTCTTGTTATTCTGTACCTATTAGGGGACTTGGAGTTCCTGAGTGAAGAATCCCTCCATTTGAAACTGCCTATCCTGCTTCTGGGTGTATTTTAGAATTGGGAGATAGGCCCCAATTAATTCTGTAGCATCTGCGTTAGAAATGTAGTAGTACAAGTTGGGGGTTAATCTCAATTATTTTAGTTATTAACTAAGCCACTTGGTCAAGTCCTGCTTATTCTCCATTTTAATAACCTCTCAGTGGTAACAATAGTCTATTTACTCTCATATTACTTTGGAACTCAAACACAAGAAATGAAGAGGAAATTATGATAATCTTTGTCTATAAAGATTATACCTGTACACCTTCACAAACTGCCATTTACTGGATTGGAAAACTTTTTTACTGAAATCTGTTTATAATGTACGTTTTTAAAGCATTGTAATGATTCTTCTTTAGACTTTCTCCTTGGCTTATGTCCTTTGTATGGCTCACAGAATAGAACAGTATTTATATTAACTGACATTTGGCTTTTTTATTTCTTTTGGGTTCCACTTATCTAAGCAATACATTATCCCTGTCCAGGAGATCTACAAACTATTGGAATTGGAATGGAATTTAGAATTTCTATTTAGGTATCTCAAGTTTTAGTTATCTTTAAAATCCTTCATTTAAAACAAAAACAATCCTGAACTTAAATTTCTAAATAAAACACACATTATATACATCATCTATTGTATACATGCATGTCAAGAGTGTCGTATTTAAAATTAAAATCAAAATAGAATAAATGATGCTACTTTTGTATGCTACAATACAAGACAGTTGTTGTTAATAATCAGCACAAGATCTTCACCAAAATGTGGAACACTTTTTTTGAAGCATATTAAATAATTGTGTGGATCTTACATTATCCCACTGATAAGGTCTGCGTTTTTTAACTGTGCTTTAAAAAATATGTTTAACTTTCTTACTGGATCTATTCCAAATGCATAAGGACTTCCTGAGTAAACTCCTGGGACAGCTGGATCTAACTGAAGCAGTAGACTTCCTTCAAGGATATGTGCACTAGAAAAGTTAAAAAAATAAACATTTTTTTATTACATAGAGTTAACACAGTATATAGCAAATGGGAGTAATAAAAGCCAATATCATGAATAATAACCTATTATTTTCAAGATAATAATTATTGTTTGCATTTGTACAACATCTTTCATATGAAAGTATCCCAAAGTTCTTCACACACAGAAGCGGACCAACATCAGGCATCAGTGAAGTCCAACACCCACATGGGTGATGTGTGTCTGCCATTATGCCCCAAAGATAAGACAGGGGAGTAAGAAATTCCTTTCCCAATCAAATTAAAGATAATACAGGGTGATCAGATTGTGCAAGCTGAAAGAGAAAATCAGTCAGGACACCAGGAATAACACCCACCACAATATCTTTACTTACAAAATAGTCAGGATGGTTGACATTACTGTACCCCAACAAAGCACTTCACTAAGAGTACTAAGAACTATAGTGACATTAGGAATAATTTGTTTTCTCTCATTCCAAAGTAATTACAAATACACAAAAACGTAACAAACATGTGCACATTGGCCTTATATACTGTACAATTTACCTATTTAAAATACATAATTTAGTCATTTTAATAGCAAAAAAAAATATTACATTCATTATCTAACTTTAGAGAAAATCAGATACATCAACAGATCTGAGCAGAAATGTCACAGAAATATTTGGTTTTGAAATTGTATCTTACTTCCATGTTCCATTCAGAAACATTGGTCTCACATGCCAGGAGGAACCAAAGAGGTTGAAAGACTTGGCAAAGCAGTCATTATAAATGAAGCCAGTATAAATGGAGAAAATACCCATCAAAAGGATCAGGTAACGGCCACCAAAGAATGTATTCCAAATCTGAAGAGGAAGAAATATGTATAGAGTGATTTTATTCAAACATGTCTAATAACCATTCAAGAATTTAACATTCTGCTTACATTGTTTGCTGAACTTTCATTAACAAGTGCTCTGTGGATTTTATGGGGTATAAAGCTGGGGTATGCAGCCAAAAGCTGGGGTATGCGAAAAGACAAATTCCTAATGCAAGAAATTGTATAGGGCTAATAAAGAAACATTATCATTATCATGGTGCTTTGGGCTTTAGATAGGCTAATCTTAGCACAACCATATCCATAATAAATGGTTCTAATTGAGCAGTGCTATCGGGAGATGTTTTATGTTAAACAATTGAAAATGAAAATAAAAGTTTTCTCTATCATAATTTAATCTCAATATTTAACTATTTTTATATAAAAAATACAAAGATCAAATAATCTTTCTGGTTTAGGATAAGATAGTATTTTTCAGTGTATGTATAGGAGGTCACACATTTAAAGTGGTTTTAACTTACCAATCATTATTAGACATTACAATTTGTAAGACTTTAGCATTCTTTTTCTTTGTATAAAATTGTTTAGTTTAAGTTTGGAGGGAGCTTAAAGTTTTTGTTTTTCTTTTGCACTACTTCTCCATAACTGTAAATAAGGATTTACTAAAGACCTACCTTATACCACAATTTTGTGTCTATGTTTACTAAGTTCCACATACTAGAAGATCACTGCTACCCCAACAGCGTCACATCTGCATTTTCTACCAACCATGTTTTGCCCCATAGCATAATTGTTACTCAAAAGATCCATAAAAACATTTAATAAACAAAATACATAAAAATCAAGGCAGAAGTATTACAACTTTTACAACATTCTGTGATTAATTTAATCATTCATTGATAGATTTACTGTATGTGTTCCAAAAGTGTGAGTGTAAGTAAAATTTAATAGGGCTAGAATCTGAGAAACCTATGAACATACAGTAGTCTTTCCTAATTAATCAAACTGAAAAATAGGATATGTACTGTAGATAAGAATTTAATTAATTAAAAATTGATCTTCTAATTGGTCTGCAGTCACTAACTAAAAGGTAAAGTATAGCACTTAAATACTAGTGAACTCTAGTGAAATGCTAGTGAAATGCTAAAAGAACTGTACAAAAAGTTTATGTGATGGTTTGTAGGAAGCCTGACTGAGGAACATGTGACTATCACTGGGCAATCTGAAAGTATTTATCATACACTAAATAAAATGTGGTCCACACCTATTAAACATCTAAATGTAATTTGGATTATTTTACAATATTAACAATATGTATTATAAATATTTTTATCATATTGTTACTATTGTTGTACCTTTTACAGTAGCAATGTTCTGAAAGAAACACATAGAAAGACTGTAAAGAGCTCACCTCATTGTTACTCTTTTTTTTTGAAAACATCTTCTCATTATGAATCATCAACAGAGCAAAGGACAGCATAATAACACCATGGCCCCAGTCACCAAACATCACGGCAAACAGGAAGGGGAAAGTTATGATTGTGTAGGGAGCTATGGGGATGAAAAATAAACATCTGGAAATGAGTGAAGCAGCTCATAAAGTTTTATTGTACACTATAACAATTGTACATTTGTTATGTGCCTTCTTAACACTAAATGAAATAAATCAATTTTTGTTCAGATTCATTCTTTATTGAACATTCATAAATTTGAATATTGTGGATGGGTACATTGAGGCAGTCATACATGAATTCGTCCAATACACTTGCTTAAACAAAGCAATTGCAGTTCAAACTCTACTGCTCTCAATATTGTCATATTGTTTCCTCTTTAAAAACTGTAGTTGTAATGTAGCGTAGATTAATATTAATGTGTCATTTTAAAATAAACAACATTCTTACTCAGATTCTACATTACTCAGATTCTTACATTACATTACTAGTATACTCTAAACTCTAGTAGTTCAGGCAGGTAGCTGCGTCAGGCTTTGTGTAGGCCGCAAAGGAACAAGTAATAGACTTATTCCATGCTGAAAAGAGAAAAAAGGAAACAGAACATTTCGGCTGTGGAGCCTCCTTTGGGTGTGAGAAAGACATGGCAGACAGCAAAGATTATATAGCATAGAAGAACAAAAGCTGGGAGAGTGGAGGAGGCTGGAGCAGGGGAGAGGCAGAGTGGCCACTCAGGTGGTGTGAAGTCGTGACCTCTGATAGTCATGATCACACTAATCTGTCTCAAAAAAGGGTCAAAAAAGGCAGAAAGACATCAGGAACTAAAGTTATCCTGAAACTTGATTCACACCTTCCCCCATCTCTCAATGACAGACTTGTTCTTATTACTTATTCCTTTACTGATGATACCATAGACATTGCGACAAAGGTGTTACAATGTATTCAAAGTATTCTCCTCCTTTAAATGATGTAATGTTGTGTTGAATTGCAGTACTGTAAATACATTTAAAGTAAAACTTAATTGCTCCAACTAAACACAACTGAATCAAGCCAACGGAAATTTCACCAAGAATTGACACATGGTGGTGAATGTGTATGCATATATATGTGAGCTAGGTATTTTATTTTTTAATTTTTGGTAGGTTTTGCTGACATTTAAGTTATTCCACCCATGAATGTATTTAGCACTACAACATTCACATTTTGATTAAAAAAAACATTCACTTCAATCTACTGTAGATTTAATATACCAGATGGTCAAGGAATTTTTTCTCTGTTTACAAACTTTGATTTAGACCAGTTTAACATTTTCCCTCAGTTCTTTAGGTGCTGAGTATACTATGTTAAGAAATTCATTAGACATCTTGGACTATCCAGGACAGGACTTGTACACTCCTGGGCCTTAGTAAATGCATATTTCTCAACATAATGAATGCTAGTGAATAACACTAATCTTTTTTTCATTAGACAGACAGAAACAAATCAGTAGTAATTCTTATTGAGTAGATGAAACTGCTGACCTGGATTGATTTCTCTGTAAGTAGATACACCATATGCATCAACAATATTCTGAAATCCAGCTGTAAATTTGTTGGTTCTGTTAAAGGTAGGTGGTGACATCCTTGTGCTTACTTCAGTCACAATAGGATCCACAGTTGAACCACTCCGGTCCTGTGGTTTCAAACAACAAATCAACAAACCAAACACTTGATACTGTAATTCAGTATTATAAAAAATGACAATTATATTTCTCCCATGAAAAAAACTCTCTACGCTTTCTCTCCTCCCAGCAGATGTAAAAAACACAAACAGCTCTTATGTAAGACACTCCATCCCCTGATACTGTGTAACATGTAGAAATTCAAAAACATATTTTTCTTGAAGACACTAAACAATGTTAAACTTCTGTAGGTCCATAGTGACAATTACACATATTAACTACTGTATTCTTTCTCAAAAAATAGTTAAAGTACTTGCCATTCCTTTCTGGAGAGCCGTTTTGATTCTGTCCATATCTGTGACAGGACACCAGGTCTCAGCAATTAAGCACTGCTGGGTTACATCAATGTTGCACATGTTCAAGGTGTGGTAGACCGCTTTCATTTTCTGCACCTTAATTTTCCATTCCTGAATGCTGCTAGCTGCCTCCTGCAGCACCCTCTTTTGATGGTCTCCTGCTTGCTTCAGGACCTAGAATTAGAGTGTCAGAGATTTAAAATACAGAGCTGTGTTACCATGTGAATTGTTTATTTTTATCTAAAGTCTTGGAATTAGCATTTTATCTATGTTCACAATATCCAAAATTAACTATTAGCTCATTTAATTTTCAACCTCCTTAACATAAACCAGGAAGATGAAAATAGTACTTGTCCTCTGAAACATGTTCCTATCTTCTTTTTACAGTTTAGGACCACACTTACAAGACCCAGAGTATCAGAAATAAAAATATGAAACCCTCTCTGCTAAAATCCCAGCCTTTCAGAAGCCTCAGGGTATAACTCTTAACACGGTAAGCCAAGGATACCCTACCTGACACAATCTGCTCTATGATTGTGTGCCTTAACTAGGTCTGTGTAGCAGCCTCATGTATTTTATGGACTCATTAAATTTAAAGATTTTACTTTACTTTATCAATTGCACCATCTGAACACAGATACTGTGCAATAGCTCCAGGGTGCAATATAGTATAGTGTGCATAGTATAGTATAGTGTGGACTCTATATTCCATTCTGAAATTCATCTATAGTATCTGTTTATGTCAGTCAATTTGTTTACAAATTATTTTGAATTTTTAAAAACTTTAATGTCAAGATTCAATTTGTTTTCTTTGCTTACTGAGAAAGCTGAAGTGTTTTTTTAAATCATACAAAATATATAAGAGTATAGCATTTCTTCATATACAGTATAGACTGTTGCTGGGCTGATTCCTGTTTAGGGACATCAAATCGTTGAACGGCATGTGTGCATCTGCAAACGTGTTACTTAAAGGGGAACTGCAATGCTACTTTTATATTTCAGGGTTAGAAAGAATCAGCATTGATGAGTGCCTTTCCAACCACAATAAAAGTAAAACATACAAAATAGCTTTTAAACCTTTATTTTACATCACAAAATAGTCTAAATTTCCAGGTATGTGCAACGTCATATTGTCATTATTGTCTGTGATTCAGAAATAGGCAAAAAAATCAATTGACATGAAGCAGCTCTGTTATATTGTAAAAAACAGGCTTATGAATACATCTCTTTTAATCAAAAACAAATATTGCCTTCGAATTCGAGATGACAGGAAGGGCCACTTCACATCGTGATTTGCATGAACTTACTTACACAAGGTTCACAACTTTGTGCTAAATTCAAAATTTGTAAAATTTTTCTAAACCATACAAGATTTTGTATTTTATTTTGTTATCAAGATTTAATAATCTGTCTGAGAATATGGGACTTTAGTTCCCCTTTAAGCGTCCTCAAATAAAGCAGTGATCTACTGTAGGACCAGCATTGGAAACCAGCAAATTATAACTTGAATCTGTCCTGCAAGAGATGAGGAACATTAATATATACAGTATATACAGTATAGAATAAGGGGTAAAGACCAGCCACCTACTGTTCTGATACTGAGACATCATACTGTAATTATCAAACTGAAATTGTTAGTACTATAGCAACAAAAGAACAGTGTGATGTTGTCCTTACAAAAGTTAGCTTCCTTTAACTGCTTTTCTTTCTTTTCATACTGTACTTATTATTAGCAGTTCAGTCTATAGGCTTGTTTTGTCAGATTTGTTTTTCAGGCAGAATGAACGACTGTTAGACTGTAGTCCTCCATATTAAGTACACTGACACAATAGCAGAGGGAGAAGAGATACACGATGACCTACTGCTTGCAAGTCTTCCAGTTGACAGTTAATACTTGCAGCTGTTTCTCGTCTTTCCTTACTGTTCTCTGGGCAAGGGTACACTGTAGCATGAAATCTGGATAATACAACAACAAAAACGTTATGAGATATTGAAAAATATTAGTCTTCTTCAATGTAGAATTAATTTACCTGACATGCTGTGTACTTTTAAACACAAATGGCTTGTTCATTGCATGAAGCATATACTGTCAATTCAAGGGCATTTTACAATTATTTTAATCTTGTGAGAAGCAGAAACATTTCCATTACTTTTTCATATTTTTAAAAAATATGCCAATACAGGCTGTTTATCTGGGAAAAGAGTTATTGATGTTTTAAATGCATATACTGTAGGTTCAGTAAAGGTAATGATGAAGCAAAAATACAGACCTGAGACAAACACAAATTAGGTTTTTGTTAATTATTTTTATAAACTACAATCACAAAACAAACCAGAACAAAACAACATCCCCTTTCCCCTAACACCTACAAATAGGTTTTAATATAACACTTCACTGCAGCTGCTGTACATTTAATGCTTACAGCAAAATTATTTTGTTTACTAATAATCGTAAGAGACAATGTTTTGTTTTTATAATGTTTAAGGACCTGGGCTTTCTCCTCTATTTTATCCATTTTGTGTGAATGGCAGATAACCGTGGACAGATGGGATTTGAGAGCGATGGGGTGCCATCTGTGTTTCGTCCTCAAATAGTGCACGAGGGGAGTGTCTTATGCTGTGACTTGCCTATGAGCTGTGCTGTTGTGTGTGACATGTCAAATAAATTCCATCCTTGAGGTCTTTACCAGAACCTGTCTTGTGCTCACTAGTGCCACAATATAAATTATGTATGATCATTACTTTTTACATTACTGTTATTTAAAAAATGAAAACACACCTACTTGTCTTTAATGACACTTACCCTTGACAAATTTTCTTAATTTTTAAGCCAAGTTGCTCGCCTTGAAAAAATATAAAGAAGACCTTCTTTTTTACTTCTTCTTTCTGAAATAATCATAATAATAAAAATATGTTTGAATCACCTAGAACCATCCCCCCATTTTGTACAAACACCTAGATCTGATTGATGTGTAAGTGGAAGTACTGGAGCTTTTGTGGAAATGGCATTAAATGTGACTTCCTATTATGAAATTCTTATTTCAGCACATTTTGAGTACAGGTTCAAGTACATCTACAGCTTCAGATCACCTGTAATTCAAGTTATTGCAATAATAGAGGCAGAAGTGAGCACCTACTACAAAATTAAAAGGATATTTAGATAAACACATATTGCTAATTAAAAATGATAATTATAAGACTTTTTGCTCTTTATTTATGTACTGATTAATAATTATTTTTAAACTGATTTAATTCAGTATGCTCATTTCTCAGATTAATTTAATAAAGTCACAAAGATTTACTGTAATTAAACTACCTGCAGTGGTGAGAGACATTTAAGAATTTAAGAATCTTTCACATTACTTGGAAAGATTTGTGCGTAAATTAAAGGTTTATTCCATGCTGAAAAGAGAAGAAAAGAAACGTTTCAGCTTCTTCAGGTGTCACACATGAAGAAGGCTCCAAAAGAAGGCTCTGCAGCCGAAACGTGTTTTTTCTTATCTTTTCAGCATGGAATAAACCTTTACTTGTTCATTTGCAGCCTACGCATACTGACACAGCTACCTACTTGAACTACTTTCACATTACGTGGATGTTTTTTGATACTTTATCTTGACCTTCCCCAGTTTTCTCTGGGGCGCTGGTAGGTATTTTATCTCTACCACATGCTTTTAATTTCTTCTTATCCTGGAACCTGGGGTGCTTTTTTTTTCAATAAAGTTCAAGAGAATGTTCTTCACCGTGTCAGGATCCTCCACAGTAGCGTCCATATCCCTCTGTTTTATATAGACATTCCCTCTGCATACCCGCCACAGCACTCGTTCAAAAGACAGCATCCTCTCGCTTCTGATAACTCCCCCTATGATACTTCATACAACAGACAATGATTCAGACTGCAGTTGTCTACTATGCTTAGCCATGCAAAGTGTTACATTAAGGTAATGTATCTGATGTGAACCGCTTTTTCAATTAATTATACAGTGTACATGAAATTCACTTCTGGATCCTATGAATTTGTTACAAAATTTCAGTAGGCGTTTTAGCAAAGTAGTGGACTTTATATGGAGATAATGAGTTGAAAGTTACAGTATATCAAAGGACAGAGGTCTCTGTGGACTTAGAAAACAGATTTAGGTTTTAGAGATAGTAATGTTTTTAAATGACAGATCTTGTGTTGCTTTTGAATTAAAAAATAGCCAAATCTCTTACTCGAGACACCATGAACTGTACTGATTAATGTACAGGGGTGTCCAGTATACCTAGAGAACTACATGCTCAACAATTTCTTTGCTGCACAACTGCCCAGAAGCCAATGAATACATAAAAATGGTTGCAGATGTCCAGATATCATTAAAACTGTGATTTAGAACAGTGGGGAAGCAACCTACGATAGGTATTTGATGGCCTTACAATGTGTACAGTAGGTCTGCTTTTTGTGGCTTGAACTGCAGTTTCAATTTTATAAAAATGTGGAGCACAGTACGCACTTGTATTGATGGAATCCATAAATCTATCAATACAACAATTAATCACGTCACAAGGCTGAGAATGTAGCACAGATTTCAGAGTAATTGTCTCAGTCTTAAAGAACATCTCTGAAATTGAAAGGTAAATCAGAACCAAACTGGCTACAGATGCAAATTTCCCATGGTGAGACAGAAAAGCAAAAGAGGATAAATAATACATTTTTGTAATATGTGTTTCTATTATCTAAGCTGTAATCTGTCATTTCTATAATCCTTTTCTGTGATCATCTATAACATAATATAATTATATCAGATTCCCTTCATGGATAGCAGCAACTAAAAGGATGGACCTTTAGTCTATTATATGCATACAATGTACTGCATATTTTTTACTTTTGGTAATATAACATTCAGTAAAAAGCACAAGAATTTGGAAACTGAAGTGAAATGTGTTGTTTACCATGTATTAATGATTTGTGTTAGTTACAAATTTTATAGTACATTAAAATCACTTGGTTGTGTAGTCTAAATTTCACTACCTGAATTTAGCTGCTGATATCAGGCATGCAAAAGAACACTTTAAATGTATTCTGCCATTCATACAGAAATAATGTTCAAAGCAAAAATAAACTCTTTGAAAGATTTACCCCAATTTGCCACTAGCTACTGCTGTAGATGGCCCATGGGACTCCACTAAAGCTGTGTTCTCTTCAGTAAAGAACTCATCTGGGAAATGTGTTTCTTTCTGTGCAAGAAAAAACAATAAAGGAACTGTAAATTCATTTAACCATCTTCTAATTGGGGAAATGGTGCCTATCCCAGCAAGCATCAGGAACAATGTGGGATACACCCTGGATGGGAGACCAGTCCATTGCAGGGCACACACAGACACAAACTGTACACATTCAGGGCCAATTTTCCCAGCAGCTACCAATATGTGAACTGTGAGAGGAAGCCAAAGAGCTTGGCAAAAACACGGGCAAAAAATGCAAACATGGGAGGCTCATGAAAACTCCACACAGATTGCACCTTAGGTCTAGAATTGAACCCAGGGTCCCAGTGTTGCAAGGCAGCAATGCTAACCACTACATCACCATGCCATCCATAAGTGTAAAAAAAATTCCTATATTGTATTTTACATTCTTTAGATAATCAAACAATTAATACATAAAAGTATTACAAATAGTATACTGTCACGCCCTCTGCAGCCAGAGGGTGCTCCTATTCTGTCCTGTCCCTAGTTTCCTGTGCTTTGCTGTCCTTCCGGTGACTCTCACCCTGGGGCTATATATTTCCGGGTCACTTATTCTCCTTCTCTCAGCATTGACGTTCAGATGTCCTGAAACCTGCCTAGCATCGAGGTCTTCCCTACGTCCGCTGCATGAGGGCATAGGTTTCTATTCGACTCCTGAACTGCTGAGCCCAGGCTAATTCCCTGTTCCGCCGCTACGCATATGGGTCTTTTTCCACTCTCCTGGCTCTCAATGGTTTGTCCCTTCCGACATCCGTGACATATACGTTCTCAAATAAGAAGACAATTTGTCATTAACAGTTTGGGCAGAAAAGTTACCCTCATTAGGGGCAAGGCTTGGTGTCATTCTAGAGTAATCCTGGGCCCCTCAAAAAGCATTAAGGTAAGGACAATGCTAGTTCTTTGTTCTACACCGAATGACAGATCATTCCACTAAGACAGCAAAGCCTACACCTGAATGCTGAAAATGAGTGAGAAGCACACATTCATCCTTGGATTATATTAGTACCATGGATGTTCTCAAAATACAGTAATTTATTTACCACCCCTAGTACTGGAAGAAAGAAAATGGAGCATTTGAATAAGATTAGAACTTTGATCCACTGAACTAATAAACAGTGATTGCTCCAGTTACACTTTCAATCTTTATTAATCTTGTTATTGATTTTGCATCATTCACCAATTTATGTTCTTTTCAGAAATCTTTTCCTACTGTAGATTATTTTTATTTTACACCTGCAAAATGTCTTCAGTGTATTAAATTCTTGTAAGCCCAAGTTAAAAAAAACTTTTTAAAGTTTTAAAGGTAAAACAGTTCCTATGGATAGATATTCAAAATTCCACAAAGCAGTTTTAAGGTGACCGTCTTTACATAGTGAAAATGTCCTAAGAGGAATAATCACTTTGATTTTTTTAATGTCAGCATGGCGTTACTTGATACCTATCTTTATGGTTTAATGTTGTTCACAAGTTTTAAGACTTGTAACGTACAGTACAGTATCTATCACAAAATGCATTTACCTCAAAGAATTCCTGCACCGTCTTGACTAATTCTTTAAGTTCAATCAGCTCCATGGCATTGCTCCTTAGTGACTGCTGATTTTGAGCCATTCCAAGCAGTTCACTTTCCAATTTCTCCAAAACAGACTGCACAAGAAGAAAAAGGTAACTCACAAGTAAGAATATAGACATGGACTCACAGGTTAGATAATTAAACATCTCAATCTTTTCACTTCAGCTGATTGTCACTCTAATTCTCTAAATCTTTATGAAAATTTTAAATCTGGATGAATCACATCACTGTATTATAACACTAATATGCAGGATATTATTTTAGCCTACAATCCTTTACATTTAGATTTCCTGAGCTAAATATTTTCGATTTTGTATTCCTTATTTTTGTATTTAAAATATTATGTTTTTTAATACAAAATATTTTTGTTTTTTTTTAATTTAAATTAATTTAAAATAAAGAACAAAGTGGACTTGTAAATATCATACACACCTTCGGTACTCCTAACTGTGTCAGTTAGATTCTAAATCACTTTAATGCATAGGCTATAATGCACAGGAATACCTGCTCCTTCACATCTTTGGAAATATTTCTTTTTAAAATTTTTGGAGTCTACCCTTGAAATATGACTGACAGAACCCACCCCATTGTAATGTGGCTGTTGTAGTAAGTCTTTGGACTTACAAACCAAATATATAAACTAAGCTCTTTTCTCTATTGCTGCTTTCCACTGCAGTCTTCCGAAGACTGCTTCCTAAAAATCCTACTGCAAGCAATCACTAAACACCCCCAAGTGAGAATGAATCTTTTTAACCTTTCACCAATAATACAGTAATTAACTAATGTCTACCAGTGAACTTATACAAGGAACGTTTGGCTCCCTCTAGTGGAAGATTATCTGTCATAACAGGTCTGTCAAATACCCCATGCCATACAGTAAGTGATATTTTGCAGGGAATCATAATCAAGGTTTCCTTGGCACATTACAGGGCCATATTAATATACTTCTGAAACTACCTAATTTTAATAGGATATTTTACCAACCAGTACTGGTTTTAGTGGCTTTTTCCTTTTTCATCATTTAATCCTAATAAGATTTGATTGGAAACTAATTGGTGTGATGCAAATTAGATTTTCCAACGACTGAAGGGGTCTCTACTCTTTAGAATGCTCTATGTAGTTATGGTGTTTTGTGCTGTTTGTGCATAGAACCTTACATACAGTATTCTTAAATCACAAACTTCAAAAACATCTTAGTAAAATCTGCACATCCCAAAATTTACAATGAGAGCTCCTTTTTGTACTCCTTGTAACCGAGACTTAAAAAGTATGAACTATTTTACTTGCATAAAAGCAATAAGTACCTACTTCAAATGTATACAGCTACGTATGTTACTTTCAACCACCTGAAAATAAAGTGTGACTGAAACTGGCTCAATGACTCATGACTCAGAGAAAGAGAGAACTGGGAAATTCTGTTGGCAGAAATTGTGCCATGTGAAGTAACTGGACAATTCAGAATCTGGATTCTGAGTATACTAGGAAGCTATGGCCCAGATCCAGTCACTCCCACAGCCCTTTGAGTGTGAAAGTCCCTCTTTTTTTTAGTTCTCACCTACAGTACGTCTTCAGGTTCATGTTTCTCATGTGTTCATTCTGAAGAAATCTAATAGTGGGTTTGTCAGTGTCCTTCAAGATATTGAACATACTGTTCCATAGACAGCACAGCCAGATCTGACTGTCTTTCCTATGACATGGTTGACCTTAGATCAGTTTTGATCAATTTCAGTTTGCTTATCAAGCGTTCATCCCTGGCGACAGCAATTGGAATTGTTAAAAACACTTGACATTCTATAACAGTTTCAGTTTTCACATCTTTGTTGACCAAATACTGCAGTACTGCAGTACTTCAGACGGAGTGTTGATTTCATTGGTGGGAAGATGAGACAGAAACTTTAATTCAGTTGCCTAATTACTGCCATGAATGTCTCATAAAAACAGGGCAAGTTTGTTGCAGGCTTTAGATGAATTATCTCCCCTATTTTCTATGCCAAACTGTTACGACCCCAAGTGTCTAGGGGTAAAGGGTTGTAACATTTAGGATAATTCTTTTGGAAGCAGGTGGGTTTTGGTGAGAGACTAGGAAGCGTGATAAAAAGGGTAAGGAACTAGAGTGGTGCCAAAGGAAAGAAAATAACAAACAAAATGGAGCTGGCTAGGACAGTGAGGGAAAGCTAATCTGACTACAAAAGAAAACCAGAAACACACAGTCTTCGGCGTCTTCAACACCCTAGCTAACCTGCACTGACTACCCAAAACCATACAAGAGAAATGGCACTCACCCGTACTAAACTAGTGTACTAATACAAAATCAACTAAGTGTGTAAAGTGAACCCAACAACATAAACTAACCTTATATACAAAAATTCACACAAAACAAGTGAACCAGGAATACAAATAAGGGAAAACAAGAGTAATCAACAGGAACAGGGTACAAAAGAACACAAAGGTTGAACATGTAACACGCTAGGGCAAGGTAATGGCAAAACAAGGATGAACACACAACAAACGAAAGTACAAAGAAACTAACAACAAACCAACAAAGCCGAACCTATACGAAAATACACACACACAAAGCACAACAAACCAACAAACGAAGCCGAAGCAATAACCAGAAGCGAAGCGAAAACCAAACGGGACCTAAGTCAAACAAAGGGCCTCTCTTTGCTGAAAAACTCCAACTCCAACTTGTCTGTTGCTCTGTCTTGCAGGGGAACAGGTTACGTTATCCAAATCGATATATTTTGGAATGAACGCGCCAAATACCAATTGCAAATCATCCGCACAGCTGTGTTTTCCAAGAGATCATTGTGTTGTATTTATTTGTATTGATATTGGATAATATATCACGTTCCCCGCCCCTGACATATGAACTCTCGTTCGTTTATTTTACAGATGGTCTTTTCACACACACACACACACACACACACACACACACACACACACACACACACAGCTTTAATTTAAATGACGTTAACAACAGGGCCCCCTTAGATCTTGGCCCGAGTGCAGTTGCACCCATTGCACCACCCGTAGCGCCGGCTCTGCCTTTCAGAATCAGTGTCCAGCCTTGGTTGTTAGGTGAAACAAGCTGGACAGACATTGAACAAAAATGCATCAATGTGGTTCATCTCTCTCAAGCCAAGTCACTGTTATTTGTTAGGTTGTGCTTGCCCAATAGAAAATATACCAGTAGCACCAGGCTTTAATCTCTTACATAGGAATATAACATTAAATACACAATGTGATCTGTACCTATTTAAAATCTACGGTTAAAAATTGTTAAAAGGGAAATTAGCTCAATATGAGTTGTATTAAAGTTCCTCCCAAAAATGGGAGTTCAACATTAACACAGATTTATTGCTACCTCCAAATCATGGACCTCTCGTGGAAGGGGGGATAAAGGACAGCTCTCACCACAGTTTTCTGCTACTACTTGTTCAAGTTCCATCTGCTTCTCAAGAAACCCTGTGAACAACATCATTGTAAGACTCAATAAACTTAGGGTATCCATGAGTGTTTTTTATTAAAAAACTCATTATTAATATATATGTTTCAATAACATTCATGTTTGCATTTACAGTACTGTATATGTGCTGCCCAACCCTTTTTCCCATTAGTCTTCCTCCATAAAGATTACATACTGTATTTGTTTTATATTTTACTATTTCTAAAATACTTACTGAGGATTCTTTCCAGGGTTTCACACCTTCTCACTTCATTCACATATTTTCTTTGAAAGCTGTTTACATGTGCATTCAGCTGTAAATAAAAAGTGATTTATTTTGCTTGGGACTGTTCATTATTTCAGGAGTTCAGACATAATTTTAGTATTCCACAGCGCCATTGGAAATATTATTTTAAGTGATAAGGACAAAATAGAATTTATGGAAAGTACAAGTACAAGCGATATTAAAATGAGTTCCTGTTTGGAGATCGGACATTACCTTGAATTCAGTCCCTCAACCAGGTTTGTACTGTCTACTGTATATTTGCCAAAATAATGCAAGATGTTTAAAGGCACATCCATATCGGGTGGGAATGGCCTCTGAAGGGCTTTATTACTACTACTACTAATAATTGGTTATACTTATATAGCACTTTTCTGGACACTCCACACCCACTCCATTACAGGTAATGGGGACTCCCCTCCACCACTACCAATGTGCAGCATCAACCTGGATGATGCGATGGCAGCCATACTGTGCCAGAACGCTCACCACACATCAGCTATTAGTGGGGAGGAGAGCAGAGAGTAATGAAGCCAATTCATAGACTAAAAGGTTAAAGAGGCTTGATCACATTTTGCAAGGAAAATAAAACTAAAATATTTTATCCTAAGGGAATGGTATAACTTGACAAAAATTTGAAGAATTTTGGTTAATTCCATTGCAAAAAATTAAAGGCAGTTACTCAAATCTATCCTGAGCCCTTAGTCTGAAGAGAAAGAACACCTTGCATTAAGTATTTTTTCCAAACATATTTTAAAAATAAATATATATAGCAGGCAGACTGTTTTTCTTTTACAAACCACACTTTTTCAGCGCCATCAGGACACATCCTGACTGCACTGCCTCAGATTTTGAATCATCTCTTGCCTGGCCTACTGAGACTGTTTATGTTCTAAACACAGTGAAATAACAAGCAAGCTATGCATTGATATTCAAAACATGATTTGTTTCTATTTAATACACTTTTTGTTTCTCTGTGCAAATGTCACATAATGGATACTTAATGTACTGGATGCTATTCAGAGATTAGTTGAAACCATTAAAAAGCTTCTTGTGTTTTTTTATGATTATACAGTATATCATGTAAACTTTCCAAACAGAAAGGAAAGGCCATTATTCACACAGTTAACTGTCTTTTCTTTAATAATAAAAATAGTCTTTTATCAAAATGTTCTTCATCACATCACCTTACTTTTACTTCCTATTAAAGATGTTTTTTGCACCTGTTTTTTTGTCATTGTGGGAGAAAAACTCATTTTTTTTAAGCTTCTTTTTTACTCACATCTCTGAATTGGACAAGACCTAGCTCTCCCAACTCTGCAATACAGCAATAGGCAGCTTCGACTTGTAGGATGATCTGTGTCAGACACATTTCTTCACTGCGAAATAAAGACCCTGCCATCTTGCACTTTTCTGAATAAAAAAGGGGTGCATTAACAATTTATATCCGTAAAATTAAACAGATTTTACACAAGGTCTTGTGACTCCACAACAGGTTATCCAGACATAATATGTGAATTGCAGTATTTAGATCGAATGGTATATACTGACAAAAAGCTACTGGAGTGGGTTAATTTCCACAATCAGAAACACATTTGAGTACTGGCTTCATGTTCATGTCCCAATTAATCAATGAAAGAGCAACTATGTGTACTCAAGGCCTGAGATTCATGATTCGTGAAAGTAGATGTATGCACAAAATCTGTGACATTAGAATATACTGTATATGGATATTATCTTGAATTTGTGTATTTAAATCAGAAATGAAACAGAAGCAGTACATATAAATGTATTTTATTTGAACAACTGCTTTACACTGCATTAATAATGTCCCAGTTTTCACTGGCAATTGCATAAAATGTGAATCTGAACAAGATTAATAAAATACATGTAATATTCAGCTACTGTCACAAAGCCGCTCAAGCAGGTAGCTGTGTCAGCATGTGCAGGCTAACAAGTGAAAGGTTTATTCCATGCTGAAAAGAGAAGAAAGGAAACAACATTTCGGCTGTGGAACCTTCTTCTGGGTGCAAGACCTGAAGAAGGCTCCACAGCCAAACATTGTTTCCTTTATTCTCTTTTTTTTAGCATGGAATAAACCTTTCACTTGTTTCTTTGCTGTCACAAAGCTACATTTTTACAATTGGGTTTTCAGAACTAGATTAAAAAATACTCTAATTTTACTTGTCTAAGACTACAACGTTGTGTACAATGTGTACTACAACATTGTGTAAAATGTGTGCAAGTCTGACCAAAGCAAATTGTGTTCAGATATTAGTAGGTGTTCAGATATCACCACTGAGTGGGCAATTCAATAAATATTGTATGTTTTGCAAAACCTGTACAATACTTTTCTGTTCTATTCAAAGGTTTTTTTTTCTTGTCCTTCTTTCTTAGTTTTCATTTACAGTAAATAATCAAAAAGATTATCTGCTGTAGTTCACACTTTCACTTCTGCTCTACCTCTGAATGATGAAACACTGCAAATATTACATTCTGTTCTCCAGAGGTCTAAATGAGTCAGTGAGTTAATAAAAATAAAAATAAATGAATAAAAGATTCATTCATTTAAAACATTTTAAGATTTTATTACTTAATATTATTACAGGATTCAAATGACAATCATAAGATTGGGAAAAAATGAGTGTTGTTGCCCAGGAAGAAGATATAAAATAAAACAACAATCAAATCTCCTGTATTAAACTTTATTTAACCAGGTAAATCAATCCAAACATTTTTAGTGTAGAGTTTCCTCACTCAAACAAACACACATAGTACTCAGAACAAACTCATATCCTTCTGGGCTGATATTGAGAGCCCTAATCACTACTTTATTCTGTCTCAAACCCTAATAGAAAAGGTTTACTGGTAAAAGATTACATCTACTCTTTAATTGCAATCTAATCAAATAGTTTGAGAAAAATACTCATCAGAATCAAAAGCATTTTTGGTAAGGGTGCACAAAAAATATTTATGGAACAAGAAGCTTGCAATAGTTAGTAACAATAATGCATCATGACAAAATAACTTTTAAACATGTTATTGCAAACATAGGCTTTCATTTAATGCACACTTGCTGCATTATGTCTTATATTACAACCCCTGAAAGAATATGTAAGCAGATACTGTCAATCTTTTAATGTTGATTAATGTAACAGGTAATTTCCAAATACCCCTGAGCTAGCTAGCATATTGCACTATATTGATAAAGCTTAATATTAATTTTCTGTAATTTTCAAAGTTGAATTCAATTAAATTAAATCTGCAAGCTCAGGTCTTACCTTAGTCCCCTGTCCACTCTGAAATGAACACCTTGCAGCAAAGGATTTTGTATTTTTTAAGCAAAACTTGCAAAGGTAATGTATAGATTGGAGATTTAGCTATATTCATAAGCTAGCTATTTTCTGTGTTAGACAAAGACCAACAATGCCCATCTGTGCCTTGATTATACCTGCTCAGCTTCTTTAAAAAAAATGCAACATCTTGTGGTTGGCTTACCCAAATTGTTTGTGTTGTAAACTTACTAAAATAGCAAGCCAGCTTTTTGTATACAGTAAAAATACTATTTGCTTGTATTTAATACATTATTCATTTTTCTGAGTAACTGCCACTGCATGAAAAACATCAAATATTTGCATTCACTTTGCCATACACTATATTGTATTAACCATATGTTAGCTCTTTATTTGGTGGTGAAAGGAAAAGAAAAGAGACAACATTTCAGTTGTGGAGCCTTCTTCAGGTGTGAGCACTGTGAGTACTGAGCCTTCGTCACATAAACCTTTACCTGTTCACATGGTGACACGGCTACCTATTCAAACATATCCTAACCCTTGATTACCATCCTACTTTTTAAAATATAGTTCTAAATTTCTTCCAAAAGGTAAATACCTCTGTTTTCCAAAAGCATCTATTAGTGAAGCTATTACTAATGTGATCTTTTAATGATCATAAAACTTGTAATGATGAAAATGCTCCCTTCTAAGTACAGTATGGTACAGTAGGTCACCCTTATGTACTAAGTGTGTTTCATCTTGATATATTAGCACAGATACTATATACATCATTATTTCAATCAACAGTAACTGAAAAGACCATAAAGCAAAGTCTTCATATAAGATGATTTAGCTTAGTGAGAGTCCAGTTATTTCTGTGATGTGTAGTAGTTTATGCCCTTTGGGAACATTTTGCATGTCTGTCCTATTGGTTGGATAGTCTAGGGCTTTGTTGAGCTACAGTAGCTCTGTGGGAGGAGCTATTGTCAGAATTGTATCTTTAATGATACAACCCCAAATAGGGTAAGAACTAACACAGCTGTTGAAGCAAGGTTCAATCTGCTGTAGACTGCATCAGACAGCCATACAGTATGAAGATAATTGGAATGGTAGCTACTGTCATGTACATCATGTATGTCTTTTGCAGACTGATCTGTCCAGTTGTAGGTGAGTGATGTGATTCTTTCATTTCTTTTTTCAGACAGTGCCACTGTTCTTCATTAACAAGTTAAGGCACATACTGCTACTGTAAATATAAAACTATATACTGTACTGTATATATAGAAATAAAACTTAATTATTTAATTACAGTACTGTAAAAGTAAATAGAAAGAAGGTGTTATACTGTAGATCTGTTGACAGTCTTGATCTTTGACAAGGCCAGATTAACACAGGGCCTTTAATTATTTACTGTATATATATACCATGGATCACATGTATAGATACCAGGGTATCAAAGCACAGAGCACTTTACAAAACAAATTAAAAGTATAATTTGTAGACCATGAACATGTGCCTTTACACTAATCCTAAAGATGCTGACAGATGTACAGTATTATCTATAAGGGAGGAAGGCAAGTAGTTCCTCAGGTTGAGAACTTTATACAGGAAGAACCTGTCTTCCCCTTGCAACTCTGTCCATAACAGACCAGCATTAGCCTGTGCATCAATGTCAGTAGAAGAGTGTTAGATGCCCTTTGTACCCTTGTCTTGGTTCAATTAAAGCTTTAATTAGTATTAGACAGATAGATTTTGTCTTGGCCCTGTTTTAATATGTAAAGATCTTATGAAGATATTATTTTCAATAGTTTTGAATGTACTTCAAAATGCAGATATGAGTCAAGTATAATGCCAAAATATCTAAACTCAGATGCAGATATTAAAATAATATTTTTTATAAACCTAATTGCAAAACTAACTCAAAGTTTACTTTGGCGACTTCGGGTTGTGTGTTATACTAAAGATGATCAAAAATGTCTAAATTGTAAAAATACATTATAAACTTAAAAATATATACAATATACAGTACAGAAAAAAGAGAGACAAATAATGAAGTAAAATTGTAATTTTTTGTTTTAAGAAAAGTGTAACTATTGCACTGTACAGTATATAGTTGCAAATACCAATGTAAAGACTGGCAAGTGTAAATGTTTTATATATTATTTAATAAGTATCTACAGTAAGGCTGCTCATCCACAGAACTACTCTGTACTACAGGATTTGTCGTAACACCTAAATCAAATGTTCATTCCTTCTTTGGATATAGAGTAGTGCTAATCTACTTGTCTACACTCCTGAATACCAGATAGATGACATGTACAATATGTAAAGTTACAATATATTGTGTTTCTGAATTGTTAACTTACATCGTGGGAAGGCACTGTACATCAAAGTGTTTAGTTTCAGCCTAATAATGACCCTAAACTTAACTTACTGTATTTGAATCAACAAAGTCAAACAACAGGCATAATGATCTGTAGGGAACTCAGCAGTCTCAGTACTTCAGCTCTATTGACAGGTTCTGAAGTTACAGTAAGAGGGAAGAACAAAAAGAGTAGGAGAGTCATCAGGAGAATTCATAGTGCTCCCTACAGCATCTGCTGTTTACAGATACCATAAAAGATATTTAAATTCACTATAACAACCAAGTAATGTGATTCACTCAAGCAATAAAATCCTATCTGAGCCAAACATATTCTGCATTATGTTGTGATTTTGTTGATTCCACTAACACACACTGCTGTTATTTAGAGACAATTTTGAAATCAAAGTAAAACGTAACCCCTTTATATCATGTAAATAATTTTACATTTACCTGACATTCTGCTTTATTGTAGCATCTGGGAGTATAGATTCCAGCTCTACACACCACAACAAGAGTAATACATTTGCAGACCAGTGTCTGGGTAAGTGACAACAGTAGTACAGCTTTAGGAATAATGTTTAAAACAATTTTCTCCTGTGGTATGATACTATAATAACAAGAATTCTGAAAGGCTTCTGAAAATAGGGCAGAAAAGATCTTCCATTGCCTTAACATTAGCACTTCACTGAGACCAATCCCACTATAAATGGCTGCCTTTGAAAAGAGTATGAATTCGTTCCGGTACTTATTATTTACAGCTGTGTACTGTGGAGATCCGTCTGTGTCTCATCTAAACTTTTTCTGATGCAATTTTGGCAAATGCACAGTATTTAGAAAGCATGCAAAGGAACGAGTAATAGGTTTATTCCATGCTGAAAAAAAGAAGAAAGAAAACAACGTTTCGGCCGTGGAGCCTTCTTCAGGTGTGAGCAAACACTCTTCACATCTGAAGAAGGCTCCACGGCCGAAACGTTGTGTTTTCTTTCTTCTTCTTTTAAGCATGGAATAAACCTATTACTTGTTCCTTTGCAGCCTACGCATGCTGATGCAGCTGCCCACCTGAACTATTTAGAAAGCATGGCAAACAATCTTTTTTTTGGCAAAGTATCACATGAAATTAATCACAAAACAACTTTTAAAATATTAAATAAGTTGTAACCAATACCCAAATATAAAAGACATTTCACAACAGAAGCAGTTTAAGAAGGAACAAGACAACCCTTAACCCACCAACACAAAAAAAAAACAATGTAAAACTGCAGCCGTTTGGTAAAAGTCTTATCCTGTGTGCAGGTCCTGACTCTCTGAAGCTCTGCAGCATGGCGGAACTGTGCTGCCCGCAAATCGTGGTGGATGCACAGGGCTGGATAGCGGCAGCAATAGGTTGGAGTCTCTTGTTTTTCACACTCATCCTACTTGCAGTCAAGAGACTTAGCACAATGGGAATGGAAGCACATGCCAAGACCACAGAAGCCTGAAAAAATAAGTTCCTAAAAATAATTCTGGCAGGGGAAATTATGGGAAACTGTTAAACAATGTAACATTTAAAGCAATACCTGGCAGCTGAATTACATCCCTTCCCATTTTATAAATGCCTTATACTTGCGTGGAATGTCATCTTCATTCTGTTTTCCACTGTGTTTTATTTTTTAACTTTCTGGAAAATTACTCTCTAGATCAGTGGTTCACAAACCTGATTTAATATTTCATCGAAAGTCCTTGGTCAGCACACCAGGGAGCATTGGTTTAAAAATTCTGGTATAGTTTAAGAGTTTCCATAATACAGGATTAAGAAATGAAACAATTACATTCTAAATTAAGAGAATATGTAGTTGAGAAATATAAGTAAATCAAAATCAAATAATAACCCTATCTATGTGTAATATACACTTTACACTGTTTGTATCATTTGTATACTTCTAATTTAAAAATATTTAAAATATATCTTTCTTAAGCACATTACTGTATACATAAAAATGTCTGACGTAATATCAAAGTAAATAAGATGTTTACAAAACATTATACATAACTTAAATAAAAGTCAGATGAATTACAAATTATGAGATTATTGCAATAATATGGTGTCTTTATTATGATGTAGTACTTGATTCCCGTTTTAATGCAGTATGATGTATGCTTTGATTATTATAAAATATGTGTATGTAGTTTTTCATACAGAGTTTATAAGTGGTTTAATTTATCATATAAAGATGCATCTGAGAGATAGACATGTAATGTCTAAATGCCTGGTTATTGATGGTGTATGGAAAGATTTAAAAACATTGAAAATATATTAAGATTTCAATAGATTCGGTGGGATGTTGCCTAGACATCTCAGCAAAGGTAGAAAAATACTCAACTACTGATGAAGTAGTTGACAGACAGAAGGAGCACTTTCAGGAACTCAACCAGTGAACACATTCTTCTTACAGAAGGCATCTCAATAAACCTGATCTGCTGGTGGCGGTGACAATGGTGGTTGTCAGTGGTATCTAATGCTTGAGTAGTGATGAGACAACAGGGGTGGCACAGATTTACCTTGAAACCTCGAAAGCACTGGACAAATCTCTGCACTGACAAACAAGAGTAGTAGTCCTCATCTATGAGAAATGGGACCAGAGAGTTAGGTGAGGTTCCATATGAAGGGGGTCACCCTTAGCTTCCTTGGAAAGTCTATGTGAGAGTGCCAGAGAGGAACACTGTCCATTATCTGAACATCAGATTCAGAAGGAAAAATGTGGAATCTATCATGGATGAGTAAAATTAAACCCCTTTCTTCCATCTTTTTTCTTTGCATTCTCTATCAAGAGTGTTTATTATTTTAAGTCCTATACATGATTTTCACATATGTTTTTCATAGACTCATTTTAATATCAAGGTGCAGCTGATACATACAGAGTATCAGTTTTGGGGACCTAGGGGTCCCCAACAGATCTTTGCAGATGATGATTAATATTCAAAACATACTGTACACATGGATTTCCTACTGTAAAGTGGTTGTTGTTGAGAGCACCACCAAATCTGACGTTTTGTCCTAAAAAATGTTTGATTGCTCTCTCCAGGTGAGGTACAGTAGGAACAATAGCTTTACTATAGTAAATCCTTAGTGAAAAAGGTGAAGTACCCAAGTACCAGTTGTTCATGGGTGATGACAAAAGGGAACAAGAAGGATGGCAGCAGTTCTTGAAAATAACATCTGGTTTATAGGTCAATCTATGTCTATATCCCTAGAATCTCAGTTCTGTTCTGCCAGTATAAGCACACGGCCTGGTCCACTTAGAGGATTCTTTGCATCTACAATAATCAGACCAGCTATTCCACTCCTTATATCCTTCTGCACTCAGTAGCACTCTTGAAATGAAGATTCAGATCCAGATGCTCAACTGCCAGCCTTTCTTTAGACATAGGTGAGCATTTTTCAAGACCTCTGCATGCATCTTTGAGACACTTCCACAGCTCCGTTCACACGTGACCTGCTATCTGGGTGTGTGCTCATGAGATCAGAGACCATGGTTTTTCCCTTCTGGACACTCCACTCACAGCTCTTTTCAGGTAATGAGGACTCCTCTCCACCACCAGTGTGTATCACTGACCTGGATGATGCGACAGCAGACAAAGTATGCGCAGTACGCTCACCACACATCAGCTATGATTGGGGAGACCAGAGTAATGAAGCCAATTCATAGATGGGGGGTATAAGGAGTCCATGATTTGTAAAGACCAGGGGGAAATTTGGTCAGGACACCAGGGTTAGCACCTTGGGGAGCAGGACCTTGGTTTCATGTGCAAGATTATACATTTTAAGATGAAAGAAAACCACTATTACATTACTGTATATGCAGACCTCCTTAGATCCCTGAAGCCAGGTCTCAGGTCTCTAGGTCTCAGAAGGTATTCTCCTAGGTCACAAAATCAGGGTTTGAAACAAATATTGCTGTTCTTACCTGGCCTAGAGAGGAGCCATGCCACTTGTTTTCTCTCTGATGTGTTGTGATTTTGTGTTTGATGGTGTACACAAATGGTCATGGTTTAGCCTTTAAAAGTAACCATGTCATTTTGCAGAGGTGGATAATACTGTTACCCTGTGCAAGATAGACCAGGCATTTGTTTGTGTTGTGGAGAGGAGTTTGAATTATACAGGTATGTCCTCACATACAGCATTAAAGTGACGGAGATATAATTTATCCATTGACAATGAGTGACAATGGCAAGTAAAACGTTTAGTCAAAACATGTAATCTTGCTAATTTAAAAAGCACAGTTTTGGATATACATGTAGATCAAGTGCTTTGGACATGACCTGAGGACAACAAAATATAGATTTTATTACAGATCCAGTGAGGAAGAGATCAGTGGGCATCATCCTAGAAATGAGAAGACTGACACTGAGGCCTCCAGCAACTTCCATATGAACTGGTTAGAGAACATCAGTGCTTAGTCCCCTAGTAAAGGAGAGAAAACTACAAAATCAACAGAAAACAACAAACCCCAATGTGCTGCATGATTATGATATAACTCCTAAGAATAAAAAAAAGGATGATTTGAAAACAGAAAGAAAGAAGAATTGATTATACTTAAAATACTATCTTGTGAATTTAAATACAAAGATTTTTTGCCATATTTTACAGGAAGTATTATAAATGAAAGAGGACACTTTTAAAACTAAGGAGGATTCGGTCTTCTGTTATATAACAAAGCCTGGTTTCTTTTTAATACTCTTAGTATTTATTATAGACATGCACAATGTCAAGAAACATGCAGTTCATTAAACAAACTGTTAGCTGGACCGGCCAACTTTCTTTTCTTTCACAAAACAAGAAACATACAAACATATAGGAAAAATGTACCGTACATATACTGTAGGAAAATCAAAGCAACAATTCATAAGGTGGTAAAATGACTGCCAGGTGTGTAAACAGGTATGAATGACAATGCACCATAGTGTGTTATAATTAATCTATTGTTAGAACAAATTAATATCTGAACTTTCAAGTATATATTTTAGGTGTTTTTCATTAATTGCAGGCCGTGACAATCTGTAACATCATTGTTATGAAAATCCAAAAAATACATAAATATTCATAGACAGGTGTGGTAAAATTATAAGGCACATATTGGGCTAAGGAATCTCATCAAATGCATGGTAGATATCTAATTGTATCTTTAAATCTTGTGCAATTTATTCTACAGTACCTCCTAAGTAATGAAGACTTAAGTTATCAAGCTTATTTTCAACTACCGTGTGAACCATTATCATACACAGAATTTTAAAGAACAATCCAATCAAATTTAAAATTTAAGAAATAAAGACATATTTATCAAATTACCAAGATGCCACAGCACACTCAAAAGTAACATTAGTGAATTACAGGTGCATGATCTACATGGGATTTAATGCAATATTTTATTTAACATTTTTACAAATAATCTACTGTTTAACATCTACATATTTTTAGTAATTAAAAAACATTCCAAACACAGCAATGAAAGTCTTGAAAGCCAACCCAGTAATAGTTTAAGAGGTCACTATTTTAATAAGAAAATCTTAAAAGGAAAAATCTGGAATATACCACCAGCATAATCACACGTATGAAGTCAGTGAACCAATTGATGTGACTTCAGTTTAACTATAATCATAATTTAAATACTGCAGGGATAGATGCACAAACAAAATTAATGCCATCTATTAAGAAATATAGGGAAAACCAACCAGGTTTAAGTCAACTTCTAAGGATATTAAAAACTCTGGGCGGTCACTGACTATGTGATAACACACCAGCACAAGAACTAAATACATTTTAATACCTACATTTAAAAAAAATAAATTTGTTTTTATGAACAATATTGTACTAACAGCATTCAAAACCTTGACTGCTGTACTTACACTGTACAGTATGTAATAAATCCAACATTACAAGTTTCAGGTCTCGGAGCACAACTTCATTTCTGCTCTTTGAACTTTACTCTTTGAAATTTACTTGTGGATGCAGACAAAGATCCTAGCTTTTCAAACCAGTTCAGAATCAGAAGAAAGTCCAGGTGCAGTCTGAGCCCTTTGATTAAACCAATATCATGACAAAAGAAGATTATTTTCAGGAACAGATGACGGATTAAAGATACAATACTAGATGGATCTGAAAATGATTTAAGGGATTGTAACACATTGTGTGGTTCTTTTAGTTGGGTGCAATTACAGAACAATTAACACAAAAAATAAAATAATAAACCCAAACTGTAGGGTTTAGACCCAAAATAATTTCCTTATATACTGTACAGTATCTTCATTTTAACATGTAATGAAGTGTGTGCTCTATTACAATAGATTCAATTCCCACTGGTAATGAGCTGCCCTACCAGTTCCTTATTTTAACTGAACCAGGACCTGATCATCCATTTTATACAGATACAACATCACCCAGCACATAATGCATACTTGTCCCACATATTTATATAAATGGGGAGTACTTTGTAAGAAATGTGTGGTCTTATTCCAAATTAAAGATCTCATTCTTGTGGGACACAAATAGTGGAAAAGAAGAAGTACAGCAGGACAAGTTTGAAAAACAAAACGAGAAGTGGAAAATAAAGACATCAAGAGGAAATTTAGAATCTTTCATCTTGCAATTCTAGTGTCTCAAGGTTCCTTATCCCAAACAAAAAGGGATTTCTGACTTTTTTCAGACATACTGTTAGTATATCTGAGAAGTGATAACATAACCCTTTACAAAAATCCAGGAAACCCTTATTATTTTATTGTTACAGTTACCAATGATGAAAATACCACAGCCCTTTCTGCACTAAGAGTGGCTGACCATTATACTGTTACTGTACCTATTGTCTTTCATTCACATAATATACAGAAGTCCATATTACAGAATTTAAATATGAATCTGTTATTTACAGTCTCAGTCCAGTATTTAAACAATACTTAGCAACAATACATTAAACAATATGTTGCAATACAACTGCGATAGCAAATAAAGTGATATAATTTCAGTGTTCCATGCCTTTCACAGATTGTTACAGAACCACCTTTGAAACTTAAACAGAAAATTGGGAAACAAACTTACTTTGTTACCCTGAAATACGTAAGTAACAACACTGCATTTCCTCGTTAAACATTAAAGATTAATCTGTAATACTGATATTATAGTGGTGAGACTGAATTTCTGCACTGTCCTTTTGTCCAGTTGTGTTGCAGATAAAATAATATCCTTCCCTGTTTTACTAACTGGACTGAAAAGCTGGAATCTACTGAAATAAACTGCAGTGCCTTGTGTCTCTTCTTCCACATTTGTCTGCAGTGCAAGGCTACCATGTACTGTACAACCTCACTGAAGTTGATGCTTCAGGCTACATGTCAGACAGAGGATGGCTTTGATTTAGAGAACAGTACAGCATGTCATTGGTTTCTTTTAGTGAGGTGACATGAGAGGTCGGCTGTGTCTTTCTAGCTAGAAGGTCTCAAAACCAATGGCCACTGAAAAACATTTAAATATTCCAGATACTGTAGAAGTTAGTTTCAAAATTTCTAATATACAAATGTTACTCTTTAGACAAACTGCTAAATGAAAAGTTAAGCGAATGGATTTTAAGATATAGAAATCTGGTTTCATAATTAAATGAAATTTCCAAATTTCTTACTTCAGAATGAAGGTGTCATGAAAGAAAGTGAGTCTCCTTTGTAAGAAGGTGCACAGTGTTAAATGTATTAATGGTATCTAAAGAAAAACACCTGAAATGTCAGATTATAAAAAACAAGCAACAAAAACATAATGGCAATAGAACCTATTTTACCTCCAGGCACAGTATGTACATTGTAATCTTTTTAAATATGGCATCAGCACACTTCTGATTTTGAGGAAAGACAGTTGACCCTTGTTTTTTTTACCATTTCATTTACCTGAATAATGAATAATACCTGTTGTGCTGTAAATTATACTGTGCAAAGACTGGAGGTTTGTGTTGGTTGACATTGTGTTAGACACCTATAAGAGACCCCTCCGTGGCAGAGAACACAAGGAGTTTGAGTATGTTTAATACAGTCTTATCATGATATTTTATCCTTTTATTTATTCACATCAAGGCTCACTAACCCTTGGTACCTGTGTACTTTAGGACAGTACCCACTCAGTTACAACAAAAGGCAATGTGCTGTTCAGAATGGGACATATAAAGCTTGAATTTAGCACCAGAAGAAGTTAGGAAGATAAAAGATATAGTAGGAAGCACTTCAACGAAAATAGTAATGCAATTGAATTTTATAATGAAGAAAAACAAATTAAACATAAGGTCCAGTTGGTGAGTTGTACAAGCTAGGAAAATGTCTTGCTGTAAAGTGATGTTTGTGATGTAAAAAATGATTTTGCTAAAGCAATGTCTACTGAGCTGCGCTCTTTAAGACCAAACAACCGAATAAGGAATCCACAGGAATCCAACATAGCCAGGCATTGGCAGGTCCTGGCATGAGGAGCAGGGCAGAAAAGACTGTTTCACACTTTAAAGAGCAGATTCATTAAAGGATGAATTTCAGCAGATCAAAGTTCAGCAGATTCTGCGAACACCCTGTAACCCAGGGGTGTCCATAAAGGGACATGAATACCTGTACCAAAATTACCATTTTGAAAGGACTAAGGGAATGCCATTTGGTAAAACTCAAGGGTCTTCAGCCTCTTTCCCTTACTATTTTTATAATTCTCTGCTTCAAATACTGCCAGACAAAATTTTAAGAAATGTTGAATGGAGGGGTTCTGTTTTTGGGTGGGCAAACTTCCATGGGAAGCAGGTGGTTTCTTTGTGTTTTGGTCAGGGAAAGTGAGGCTAGTGAGGCTACTGTGGGGATGTGAACAAGTTTCAGCTGTGGAAGCTTTGCACAGCTGACTGTTTCTGTGAGAGCCGCATGAGCTCCTCCCGGATTGCTTTGATGAGGGAGGCTGAGGAATGGCTGGGAGGGGACTCCTCCGGTGGAGCGGAGGGGTATCCAGTCCCAGAGGACTCCAACGTATTGTGCTGCAGGTGGGCAGGAGGTGCAGAGGGCTCCCTCAGAGATGTCCTGGGCATCTGGAACACTGAGGACGAGGTGTATTCAGGGAACCCCAGGACCTAAGATTGACACACAGTAAAAAAATATTTAATGTTCACTTTTTCATTTAAGTGGGAGTTTAGGGATTCTACACATCTTTTGCTTACAAGTACACTTTACATCTTTGTCAACCTCTCTCGCATAAGGATTCTCCTCTGCCTGCTTATGACATGTTATCAAGCATCAAGGCAACATCAGATCCAATTAAATGCTACATTCAACCATAAAGACCATAGAATTTAAGACAGAATATTTCTTAAGGGATGCTGGATTAAGGGTGTTTATTTAAGTGGTGTGAAATGGTAAAGTGATGAAGTGTGGTGTTAAGCAGCGAGGATACACAGGAGTAGGGGCAGAACCTGGAAGAAATGAATGAAGAGAGTGCCCTGGATACAACTTTATGACCTGTTACTGTATACGAAAAAGGACAGAGAAAAAATGTCAATATAATAAAAAGAAGCAAAAAGATTGAGGGAGAAGACAGTTTTTCCTTTGGCCAACTCATGCCACAGACAACTAGGAATATCCCCCAAAAATCTAAACAATTATTTTTTTAAACTCTAAAATAGTATTCATCAGATAAGCAGCTAGACGTTAGATATTGATATTGATACTTTTGTTGTAAAAAAATCTGTAAAGATCAGCAGAGGCTGGAAATGAAAGTTAACAAGTAATTAAAATTTAAACAAATCATCGTTTCTTACAAGTAATTGATATTTGACATAAAAACATCAAAATAAAATCTGAAAAAATGGAGATCCTGGATTATACAAGACAAATTGGTTCTGCTCCCCACCATCACTATGATCCTAGTTTAAATTCAGATGCTTTAACAGTACAGTATGATCTGCAAAACAACGAGAGCAGTGAGTATACAAAACTGAAAGAGCTTAGGTTTAGTGGACTAACCATGTGTAATCCAGGTCTATTGGTGTTATTTGAATAGTGTGATCACTGAGTCTGCTATCATATAAAAGCAGGACATCTGTGTCGGAATTGTCAGAGCTATGAGAGTAAGAAGGGGTGTGAAGAATATGGAAGGTGAAGAACGGTATGAAAAAGCACAGTTAAAAAGCTGGAGAGGGCAAAGAAAAAAGTAAAAAAAAAGTAAAGAAATAGTAATGTAGAATGGTGTGTAAAGCTTGCTTACCTGGCGGATATTTTTCCAACATGAACAGGAAAATACAAGGAGAAAACAAAACTCTTCTTTCCAGCACTTAAAAATTGCTGTGTTTAGATTTTCAGATCTCGGAACATATAGCAAAAGGCACAATAGAATGTTTTTCCTGCCTTATTCAGCAGATCCAACCAGCAGTGTAACTCCAGACCAATGTTATTTCTCAGCATTTGAAAAGACCCAAAGAGAAGTTTTATTTAATTTTTGTTTAGTTCATACTGAAGATTTTAAGTGGATCAATGATCATTCTGAGTTTATCTGCAGTGGAAAGTAAAAAGAATATTTCAATATTGGCTCAAGATTAATTTGCTGAAGAATGGAATGCAGACTTAAAATTCAGTTTGATGAAATTCAGTTAAACACATTCTGGTTGATTTAGGGCAGTCGAATCTCAGTCCTACTGCCACTGTGAATTACGTTTTTCAGGTTTGATGTACTTTAAACTATCAGTGATTTTTGCCAGGATAAGGCAGCTAAGCAATTCAAGGTAAACTCAGATTAAATACTAAATAACTGTGCTTGAACCAGTGATGTGTTTGTGGGGGTGAGTGGCTTGTTGCAATTTATTTTATGTACAGTAGGTGCGCTGTAGGATGGAAAAGGTTGAGAAATATAGCTTGCAACTTACAGCATCCCTGTTATGTCCAGCTCTTGCATACTCTTCATCGGAACGATAAGGAGTCCAACCTGAGCTGCCAGATGAGCTCGGAGCTGCTCTCCCTACCCCAGGGTACGCACTGATCCGGCTCGACAGACCCACCTGAGTCAGGTGATGAAGTTGAGCACCTAAACAAACATTTCAAAATCAATTATATTATACAACAAAGCAAAGTCAGCTCAAGACGTAAAAGAAAGTTTATACCTTCTGCTTTGGGTTATGACAAAATTAGAGCAGAAGTTCCAAACATATCAGAGAACAAAATATGAATATACTGTAGTCTACAGCCGTGGTTATCAAACTATGGTATACGTACCACAGCGCCCTCAGGTGGTGCGCCAGATGACCCTGGAAATTTGTTGTGTGCACTGAAAAATTGGGACGGGTTTTCATATGTTCTATTTTAAAATTAATTTATGTGTCAAATACGCAGCCTACATATTACGATACAGCACGTGCTAATACTTGAGTGGACACAAGAGCTACTACAGATGCAGCCATTCAAAGTACGCGGTACAGACACGAACCGGAGGTAATTGGCTACGGCGTTGCGCATTTTGACGCAAGATGACGCGCAGTACCGCGGCACGTGATTGGTTGACCGACAGGGGCACTCGTGGTCCGTTGGTCTGTCGTAGAAAGATTTACTGTAAATGTCTTTACTGTGCCCGTTGTAGTATTGAATATTCATATGGAATTTTACCACTGAAG